TTACCTACACCCATAACACAACACCACACACACACCACAACACACACACACACACACACACACACACACACACACACACACACACACACACACACACACACACACACACACACACACACACACACACACACACACACATTACATGTCATTTAGCTGACACTTTTATCGTTATCCGAGAACTTTTTCCTTTTAACTGTGCCAAAGGTCCGTACTGAACTTGGGGAAAGGGCGTTCAGTTACGCTGCCCCTCAAGCTTGGAACCTGCTTCAAACTGAGCTGAAACTCAGAGAGCTGGTCTCATTAGAAACACTCAAAGCAACTTTAACTGACCTCGAAGCAGGCCGCTGTGTCTGTAAATGCTTTGGCTAAACTTGGTGTATGACTGTGTTGTGATTGTGTTTTTATTGTTTGTAACTGTAAAACTGTCTGAAACTGTGCTGTTACCATTCTTGGGCCAGGACTCTCTTGAAAAAGAGATTTTTAATCTCAATGAGACCTATCCTGGTTAAATAAAGGTAAAAAACAAAAATCCAAAGCGATTTACAATAAGTGTGTTCGACCAACAAAATACAAACTTGAAGAAAACAGAATCATAGAAGTACATCAGGTTTCATAGAGCCCAACATTTCAAGTGCTACTCAACTGGCTTTAGATAAGCCAGCCCTTTATTAGTATGTAAGTGCTTTGTTAATAATTCTATCGCTCGAAGCGGACACACACACACAAACACTGATGCTAGTTTATCACACCCACACACTCCCTGGCTGTCACTTCCAGCGCGTTGACTGACGGGAGCAGCTGACTGTGGAGAGGAGCTGCCGCCTCCAGCTGTGTGTGTGTGTGTGTGTGTGTGTGTGTGTGTGTGTGTGTGTGTGTGTGTGTGTGTGTGTGTGTGTGTGTGTGTGTGTGTCCTCAGAGACCTCCTTCACCTTTTCCCTCACAGTTAGTAGACACACAGTGTGAGAAGAATGTCAAGTATTCCCCAAATCATTGTGTTTCTCTACATGAGGCTTTTTTTTACTCTTTGTTTCTCCAGGACTACATTTCCCATCAGCCCTAGTAACTAAGTATTCAGAAGTAATGATCGTCTGTCAAAGATGTGTCACATAAATTCAGACATTTTTCGCGTTATTATCCTAATTTTTTTTTGCAATTTTGAAAACATTTACTTTTATTTTTCATTACATCCTTTGCAGACACCTTCCTTAGAACTTGAAGTTTCTCAATGCGTGAGTTTTAATGAGCTGCTCACCTTGCATCTGTCCGATTGTCAGAGCTCTGTCCAGCCGGTCGATTCCTGGAAAACAGAGACTTCAAGTAAGTGGGAAAAACATAAATATATGTTTTATTTCAAAGTACTGAAACCCCCATACAATAAACACAGCAGCACAATAATACAACTCAACAGTGCAGTAAAAAGAGCAAGAAGAAACATAGACGGTCACATCATTAATTTAAATATGAACAGTATTTAGTAGCACTGTACTATGCCTTATTTTGACATAAAATACGACGTACCGGCGAGCAGCAGCAGTTTGGGAAGGTTGAAGGCGAGGAAAAGATTGGACGTTCCTCTGAACCAGCCGTCCCAATACTTCTCCGACTTAGACAGGTTAATACGCCACACATACACACTCTGACACACACACACACACACACACACACACACACACACACACACACACACACACACAGGAAAAATTAAATATGTGAGACATTTTTGGCCTGTTTTGGGGTGAAAATTGGAAAATGAATGCAAGTCAATGGAATATATTTATTATCATAATACGTGCAGATTTTCAGTTTATGACAAAAAGTTCAGTAGTTGTGGATGTTTGGCAATTCATGGAAGTCAATGGTGGTACTGTTATGTTTTGGGTTTTTAGATGTTCGTGTTGAATGCAAGTCAATAGTGTCCTGTTTGAAATGTTTGTGTATGAGCATCTGGGTGTTCTGTGTGGTTTAATGTGTCTATAATGGATACAAATCAATTACCTTTTATAATACATGTAGATATATGATATAGATATGTGGATTAATGGAAGCCAATGGAAATATATCGATTTTTGTAGGTTTGGTTTTAGATGTTTGGGAGTTAATGGACGTCAACGGAAATATTGTTTGATATGTTTTTGTAGGTTCGTGATGAATGCAAGTCAATAGTGTCCTTGACATGTTTATGTTTGATCATCTGGGTGTTGGCTGTTGTTTTGGTGCAGTGTTATGAGTCTATAATGAATATAAGTCAATGGAAAGAACACATACATACAATGCAAGTCAATGAATTACAATCAGAGGCATTAAAAACGCAACATTCGTCGTTTTTTTGCAAACGTTTTCCTACATTTAGAAGTGTTTCTTTTGGTTTATTATTTCACATTTATTGGCGTATTTGTGAAGTTTGACTTTTGTCCACCAAATTCTGACCAGGTTCTCCTTGAGTCCAAGTTGACGTTTGAGCTAAAGTTGGAGATATTTCCTCAAAGCGTTCGTAAGGTATTGGGTTCATACCAGAAACATGTTCGTACAGCAACCGCAAGAACGTAATGCCTCTGGAGGCCATGACAATAGTGTTTTTACAGCCATCAATCAATCATCAACAACTTTATTAATCCCGCAAGGGGCAATTGGTTATGAGCAGTTTACGTCATGTGCACAGGCAGGAATATGTATATATTTATGGTTATGTTTGTACAAAATAGTCCAAATATGTTATACAACTTCTTTAATTTTGTTACGTCGTTAATGCCTTGGTGTTTCCGCGTGTTTTCATACCTGGCCTTCGTTGAGGTTCACCTCCAATGCGACATTTTCTTTTTCGTCGACGTAGCTTTGATCGTAGAACTCTTCGTTTCGCTCCATGACGACGTCGGACACCGGGATGGTTTGCTCCAGAGTTTCTGCTTCCTCCACCTCACATCTAATGAGACAGGAAGTGAGAGGAAAGAGGAGATTAACAAAGTAAAAGTCTTGTGTTTGAGACCCGGCTTTTATTTGAGAAAATACGTAAATTGTAATCTACTTCCAGAGCTTGAATAATGATGCAAAGGAATCAATATGGAGGCTCCATCTCTAACTGACCAATCAGAGCCAACCTACCTTTTGACCTGACCAACCATCGACACTCTGGCAGATTCCAGGTTCTTGATTTGCCCGCTTTTGATGCTGAAAGGAGGTCAAACAAGCAACCTGTTACTTCATAGCTTATAAACAATATACCGCGCAGACTTGAGGAAAGAGCTGACTCATTCCCACATTTTAGAACTTTTGTTTTCAGCCTGACTTTCACAAACCAAACTTAGCCTCCCAGTTAATGTTAGAGGTAATGTGTCAAACAGACCCACTTGCTAACCTAGCCAGCTACTGTTAGCTGTTATTAGTGGTCTTTATGCTAACGATACTTGGCACCGTCGTATCGAGGGTGGAGCCGGTGATGATGGCTGCCGTGTCTTTGGCTCCTCCCCAACTCAGCCTTTTTTTCGTATTATTTCAGTGTTTGTTTTTCTATTTACTTTTGATCTGTTTAATTGTTCTGTTGCTCTGTTGGAGGAGCCTGTGACTTACGCTTTTCATTGACATATCTACACTGTAGCAAATGACAATAAAAGCATTGAATCTTGAGCTCCATCTTCTCGACCCATTATGGTGTTTTTCTGGATCCCAAAAACCAAGATGGCGACGGACAAAATTCCTCATTAAGGCTAAAAAGTCCTCAACCCAATGGATCAATCACCAAAGCACCTTGCCAACCAAGGAGTCTAGCTTGACTCCTAGGCAAGGGAATGCTAACTCATGTCCAGGTTTGAGTGCTTTATTGGTCTTTAAATCCTCACCTCCACTCTATAGCGTGGTCCATGGACTTGAAGGACTTTGGTCTTTCCTTCAGGAGGTCCTGGATGCTGTGCAGAGCGTCCGTTGCGCTGCCTACAGGTGGAAAACAACACCAGTAAATGTTGGGGAAATCCTGAATGTCCTCTTCCAACATGAGAGTAACATGATCACAAAGGTATCCCAACTGTAGCTGTGAACATGACAGGATGTGTGATTACCTAGAAGAGCATCAGGACTGTGTTAGGCATATGATAGCTATAGGCGCTTTCACACCGCAGTACTTTTCCCACAAATAAAAGGTTCATGAGAACTCTCTAGTTCTCATGAACTAAGTACAGATCGCGTTCACACCGGAATAAGTCCCTGAGGGAGGATTAGGCAAATNNAAGCCGCTGTCGTCATTTCTTCTTCTTCTGCTTTGGGTTTACTTGCAGACCGCAAACAACTTCACGGCGTATACTGCCACCCGGAGTCCCCGGCCGGAAGTCCCCGGAGTTGAGGACTGGCTTCAGTAGAAGCTGCTGGGACTCCGAAAAGTACTGCGGTGTGAACGCGGCTTATGCGATTAACATTAACAGTCAGAATTTTGAGAAAATGTCAGGATTTTGAGAAAAAGTCAGAATTTTGAGAAAAAGTCAGATTTTTTTTGATTTTGAGAAAAACTCAGAATTTTTAAGAAAAAGTCAGAATTTTGAGATTTTTTGAAAAGGTCAGGATTTTGAGGAAAAAGTCAGAATTGTTTTATTTTGAGAGAAAGTCGGAATTTAGAGAGAAAGTCAGATTTTTGAGAGAAAGTCAGAATTTTGAGATTTTGAGAAAAAAATAAAAATATTTGTTTTTGTTTTGACTACTTTCATTCTTGAGAGGATAATAAATGCATGTATNATTTAGATAGAAAGTCAGATTTTTGAGAGAAAGTCAAGATTTTGAGAAAAAGTCTGAATTTTGAGAAAAAAAGAAAAAAAATTCTCTTTTTTTGTTGTGAATACTTCCATTCTTGAGAGGATAATAAATAAATGTATCCTGATATTGAAGCTCAAGTCGTTGACGAGTGATATTTTTCTAACAGTAAACATTAAATAAATATTGCAATAAAACACAACAGGAAGCTCTCTCACCTTCCACCACGTCGATAGCCACCAGTCCCACAGTGGTGGTTAGCAACATGTTGCTAGCTGTGTAAACTGCGATCGCGCCGCCAACACCGTGACCAATCAGGACGATGGGGGGCGGAGTCTCACCGTAACAGACACCAATCACATTGGCTATATCGCTGAGGGACGATAGTTATAGTATTTAGATACGATACGATAACACTTTAATGGTCAGATCAAGTCTGAAATGTG